ACATGGTATGCATGCAGACCAATCGCTGATTTCATCGCGCCATACTTGCCAAGGCAGCTGTTTGCTGGCTGCTCCAGCACCACACAGTTCTGCAGGGCATGAGCAATGACAAACATCAGTGCGGAGATCTCGGCAAGCATGTTGCCCTCTTGCGCAAACAATCTGCCAGTGTCCCCCATGAATGAATTTTCCTCAGTTCTGCATGCTTGGGATGCGCACAGTGTAACAAAAGAAGGCACAGTGTGCCCAGCCACACTAGGGCTCCCTTGGAGGTGTTCAGCAGAACAGATAGCCAGAACCTGAAGCCCTTCAATGAGAGAACATTGTGCCCGTGGCCAAAGACCTTGTCCAAGCTGGCCCCCACCATGTTGTTGGCAACACATTCCTTCGACAAGTTCCCCGCACCTGCAAAGAACTCCACATACTGAAGGTCAGCACTGCCTTCCTCACGACGCCGCCAGCCCAGCAGAATCGGTTTGGCAAGCTGTGTCTTCAGGCAATGCCCTTTCAGCTCATCCGGAAATGCCATCCCCAAAATTTGTGTCACCATTTGCCTGTTGGTCGGTCCACGAATGGCATGTTTGAAAGGTCTTGTTCAAAGCTGGCAGGATCAAGCTCAGCCGAGGATGCCTTAAATTGTTTGCGCACAGCAGCCTCTTGCTGCCTGTGCTTCAGCAGAAATGTCATGGCCGGTGACACTGAGTCCTTGACCTGACCCGATCCTAGCAGTCCGTCCAACACAGAGTTTTTTTGGTGTTGGGCCTGGCAACCCCTGAATCTGAATCATCACACTCCTCAACAACATCCCAACTGCCATCACTGCTTGTCATCCCGCAGCTGGATTGAGGGGTTGAGAGTCTGGGCTTAATCAAGTCTTGAACCACGTCAACTCAACGCAGCAGTTGTATTGCATGGGCACATAGTTGTTTGCATGGGTGGCGGAGAGCCGCCTCGAGTTCCACCGGCGCTGAGGGTGAATTGGCGCAAATGCTGACAGCCGTGAAACCATGCAAAGAATGCAGCATTCAGTAAGAGGTGGAGAAGACGAGATCTGTGTCGAACAAACAAAACACCACTTGTTTTCGAGTATGATTCACACACACACACACTGAAGACACGCGGTATGGTCAAGCTCCGATTCCGATGGTTGACATCGATTGAAAGTGATCAATTCGCAGCGCCACAGTTTGCAAGCGAGCTGGAATTGAACAGTTCACATCATGAGGCTTTAATAATGACGAAGTTGCACAGCCTACCCCCCCTACAAGTCAGATTCATCGTTTGCACTTGACTAAAATTTGGCCGAACAAAGCAACTTGGCTAAATTTAGGCTCCCAGCGCAGCGTGGTCTGTCAGCCTGGCGGCGCAGGCAAATTCAGCAACGGTCGACAAACAAAAGGGGCGTGGCGCAGACAAAGCTTGAAGAATTGCATGTTCAAGCCCAGCTGCAAGAGGTTTTCCAAACACTTGAGTGAGTGATAAATAAAGATGACACAGTGATACATTGTTACATTTTTGCGGGTGGAAAGTAAACCCTAATTATATAGAAGGCACTGCCTGCAAAGCGCGCGTGTCCTTTTTCCAGCTTCTGCTGTGAGTCTGTCTGTCAGACAAACGCTGCTGGCCTGTCTGCATTTCAGATGAAAACAAATTTTCATTCATTGAGTGTTCAATCGTCGGCTTCTGAAAGGCCGCCACACAAGTCATGAGTTCCGGAATAGCATGTCATGCTGCGTGTTATTATGGCCAGTCATGAGTCATGGCTGGCCATAACACGCAAAGTAGTTTTGAGTTACAGTGATTGATGATCAAGCAAAACGTTCAATAAACATGTCATGTAACAATGTAACATGAATGACAATGAATGCATGAATGAATCTTATCAAACCACGGCGAGTCCTTGACTTGCTTGGAAGCGGCGCATCAATCCACCTACTAATGATGCTATGATGTTGGTCCATTGAATGTCTCACAAAAACAACAAGCTCATACATACTTAACAAGCAGCCGCAGACTAAATGTTGTCATAATTTAGCTAATAATTAGGAATGAATCATGATCAGAGCAAACATCCCTTCCCAATTCAAGTCAAGGCCTGCGATTCAACTTCAAGGCCGGGGATGGCACTGGGCCCTGAATTTTCCCCAGCCGCCCAGCTCACTCAAACTATAACACTGTCTCCAGCATCTCGCAGCCTTCGGCGTCAACTATTGTCGCCTCAAAAAGAGTCTCGCCACGCGGGCCCACACACTTAGGGCCAATGAAATTCACAAAGAACCTCGCCCAATTGTCCCAATGCATGCTCAGGACAGTCTTGTCCTTGGTTTTCTTCTTCTTGTGCGCCCGCTCTTTATTCAGGAACCAGTCGATTCCATCTGGAGTGAACTCAATCTTGACAAACCAGCACCCCTCCCTCAGTGCGCTTGCAGCAGTGGCTGAATCACACTGAAAACTGTCGCAACAAATGTCAATATTTAATTTGGACCGACCTAGATTCATCATTACACACAAAGCCGAAGTAAACATGAGTGAGGTCAAAATGCGGTCGCATTTGATACAATTCACTGATGCTGCTGCCAAGGTGATGCCTCCACCACCCCGCCCGTTCAATGGCGAGGTCCAAGGACGCGCGAAGGCTCCAGCTAGTTCATCACCCGCTGGGTGATATTGGAGCCCAAGTTCTCCCACGCAATATGCATCTGTGGCCTCACATCTCAATCTAATAATTATTACACTAATAAATAGGTCTCCAGTCAAGGCCAAAATCGGTGTGTACCACACAAGCGCGGGCGGGGGGTCGTCGACCGTCACTGGATTTTCCGCCAGCATTTCATCCACCGTCAATGTTCCCCGCATCCAGGGCTCGGTCTTGGCAGCTGGGGGACCCGGCGGCACCGACTTCAGGTGCAATGTCAACCCGCCTGAAGGCGCCCCTCGGGCCCCGGCAGCAGGCTTCTGACTCGACGGCGGCGAGGGTCGCTTCATCATGGGTGGCTTGAAATGATTGAACGTCACTTAGGCCTGATTATTCAATCAGTGAACACAGAAGACCTAGCTCGAGCCAAGGCTGCAGCGGTTATTTAATATATAACAGTTTTCATCAGAAGTCAATCCCTGACTCACCGTGGAAACCTGATGTCTATAATGAAATTAATCGATAGGAGAATAAAAGAGTCGGCAGAATGTGTGTGTATATCACTTGTTTTTAGTGGGAGCAAACTATACCGCTAACAATTTCAGCCTCTGCGCGGGTACATCAGAATGAAATACACTGTGTGGGGGGTGTGAATAGTTTGTAAGCGATAGGTGCAAAATTGAACCTTTACACACTGCCATTGGCTCAAGCCTTGTATAGCACCTGCCCTCACGGTCATTTGCTATTACTGAAGCAGCCGCGGAGCGACTGCCGAGGCAACAGAATAAAAGAACAACTTCGAGCCTGCCAGGGATTTACGGTATCATTGATACTTGGTACATTGTACGTTTTTGGAGGGACGATGCATCCTGTATCGTCGGGAACAATCAAAGAATCGCCTCGATTCTCAAACTTGCCTGTCAACAATCTGGTCCTTTTTGTATTATCATTGTGCTGCGCAAGGGGTTGGCAAGAGAGGAGCCAGCAGCATTACACGCATAATGGCTGCCTGCCAGAAGTTTCCGGCTCCATGTTCCCTCAGTTTTTTGCCAGGCGCAGACTACTTGGCATGTCGAGTTGCAGCCTTTCATCCGGGAGATTGGCTACGACATTGATGAAGACGCTCTGAAGGCCTTGCAAGCCAAACTCCGGGAAACCAACTTTCAGTCTTGGCTCAAAGGGTATTATGAACAGGGAGCAGCTTCGTGGTATCAGTGCTATTCCTGCGAAGTCGGCACAAGGAAGAAACCCTACATTCGGCAACTGGCGCATATGTCACTTGAAAGTGGTAATACCCTGCTGAATATCTTGGTGCAGAAGAACTTTCCGCTATGCGTGCGATGGCTTCTTGAGAATTATTCAAATTCTGCCCAAGCTGACAAGTGGTTGGTGCTTGCAGATGTTGCTTTCAAAAGCGGGGAGCGCCAGAGAAGTGCGCTCCACACTGCTCTTGGAACATCTCGCGAAAAGAAAGGATTTCGTGAAAGTGTTGGAGGACCCGAATCAGGCTGGATGCAACAGGGACAAGCCTTGGAGAAACTGCGTAATCATGTAGTTTGAGGCTTCTGTTTTTTAAGTTTCAGTGAACCAGTCGCAGCCTGAAGGAGAAGCACAGTTGTCTCCAGCTCTTGGTCGATCGTCAGTTTCAGAGCTGCATCGAATTGGTACAGAGGCAAGGCAAGCTGCTCGGTTTGGAGATCCCAATGCCAGCACCTTCTCCTAGATCAGTCCTCGAGATTCACTTCGTGGAGCAGGAAGAAGAGAGCAACGCAGGTGCATTAGTCAAGCTTTGGGTTGCGCAAGGCCGATCGCAGCTGGAGGTGCTGTTGGAGTATTTGAAAGCAGCCGAGCCAACTGCCTCGAAGCTGTGCATTCCAAAGATACAGGACACACAGCACCTGAATTCTGGCATAATCGATTCATTATTTGAACAGTTCGCGCGATTCGAAGCGGTGGAGGTACATGGCTTTGTTCATGCTGATGTATACGGATCCATGTTAGATTCGCTGTTTACCTTGGGCAAGACGCTGGTTGGGCATCCAATTTGCCTTCAGGACGTCGCACTCTTTGTGCGCCCAGTTGACAAAGAGGGCAGGGGGGAAAGCCTTCTTAAGAACAGGATCACCAGCATTGTGCAGCAGATTGTTGCGTTGGCCGTCCTGCAAAAAACATGGAAGGTGCAGTTGGCTGACGTACATTTTGCAGACCCAGAGTTGCGAATGTTGCTTCACAGGCTGAAATGGGTCGTCGAAGTCATGATGTTTCTTACTTCTGATGCAGTCTGTCCCGTGCAGCTGAACAGACAGCAGGTGGATATTTGTTGGCTGACATTCCCTTCAACAAGGGGCTCTTACAGACCTGTGACATGGCCTTGGGTCGAAACATGAAGCGCCTGCGTCACTGCTCCAATCTAGCCAGTGCGTTGTCCGATGACTTTTGGGACTTTGTGAAGAACTTGCTTGGAACATGGTCTCAGCTTGCCGAGGCCTTTGCAAGGCAAGCTCTGCTCATTGATTGTTCTGACAAGCGCCTCACTCTGCTTTTCCAGAGCCTTGATCATGCAAGTGCCGCCATTGTGTACACGCTCTTATCTTTGGACAAGCATTTGGATGATGCTGCGGGAAAGCCAGAAGGTGCTGGAAAGGGAGGGCAGCATGCCATGGAGTACTTGCGCAGACTGCAAGCTTGCGAGGAATCCTTCGCCTGTAAACTCTTTCCAAATGCGCAAATGCAATTCCCACGCGTGGTCTTGGAGTACAAGCACCAGTTCCAACTGTTGAAGACGACTGATCTGGCTGAGAAGTATAATAAAGACATGTGGGGCCCTGACAAGACTTCCTACTGGGTGACGGGTGCTTTGGCTTTTGTGCCAGAGCATCGGCTGTCACAGGATCGCAAGTTCCTTGCGCAAGACTACATGAGTCGGATCCCTAAGTTGGGCGAAGAGAAATTCAAGAGAGTGAAGTGGGACTCTGTTGTATTGGTAGAGCTCGACTGGCTTGCAGCTGCTGCAGAAGGGCTCAGACGGTAGTCTCAATAGGACGATTCAAGATGGAAAGAATTTACTGGAGGAGCACCGAGATAGGCGCTGCACGCTTTACCATTCCGAGCAAGTGAATGTTGCCACAGGGCAGCATGGTGAACCACTGAGGCTTAGAGGCGGCAGCCAAAGGATGCCCGAGCCGCACTTGATCATTAAAAACTCTATGTACCACCTGGAATTCGGACCAGGCGACGGCGACATCAACCTGACACAAAGCTCACCCGCAGGCATGCGACAATGGATATGAAGAGCCTTAGCGGAAGTGGAGACACCAGAGAAGAAGACTCCAAGACCTCTCGGAAGGGCTCGGCAGGGCTCGGAAGATTCTTGAGGAGGAAGAGGTCGAAGGCTAAGCTACAGCCAAGCTGCGCTGCCCAACTTGCCCGACTTGCGCAACGTGCCGCTGGTTTGTTGTGAAGACTATCTGCCCGCAAGGAAAGTGCCAAGCCTGTGATGTAGTTGACAGTGTCGGAAAGAGCCTTTGGCCCTCAGCCTTGTATGCCTGGTAGCTCGGGGGTGTGCGAGCCCTGTGTTTCAGTTGAAACCTCGACTGATGCTTTCTGCCCTGAGAGGGCCGTTCAGATCCTAGTCCATCCCCATGTCTCTCACGAACTAGTTAGAGGAACGGATCCATATAATCCCAATTCACGCTACAGGGGAGTCCGTTTTTTTGTCCCCCCTCGTTTTTTTTGGATGCCTTTTTTGGGAAAACCCTTTCAAGAATAGGGGACGCTTAAACGCTCACAGGATCCTGAATTATGGAAAACACTTTCACTAGTAGACACCCCTAAAAAAGAGGGTAGCACATCGGGTGTGCCTTTTGCGCCTGGCCCAGGCCGTCTTCCTGGGTGACGCGCTGAGTCCCGAAGCGGTCTGTGGGACTGGGAAAAGAGTGCGCTTGGCGTATTTTTTCGCAAGAGAAGAAACTTCGGGCCAAGACTCGCAGACCTGGTGGAAGGTTTCGGCAGAATGCGTCCAACAGCAGGCACGGAACAATATATATTTGTTTGCCACGCTTGCTCCGGCCCAAGTTACGCTAAGGGGATAGGCGCAAAATTCAGCAAATGCAATCCTGCAGAAGTCTTCGTGCAAGGCAGCTGTAGGCATCCTTTCCATGGCAATGTGGAAATGCCGCAAGCGAGGATTGAAAGCCTAGAGGATTGAACCCGCGTAGGTCGGTGGTGCAGAGATGGCTGGCTGCAGAGGCCGCTTCTGGGCGGAGCACTGGCAGTTAGATAGGGGTTGTGTGAAAACCCCGCGCCTTTACATTATGTAAGGCTTCGTCCGGAGAGGAGGCGCATGGCGGAACGCCTGTAAAACGATAAGGAAGAAACAAAAACGATAACGAATGTGTGTACTACTACTATTACTAGTACTACTACTTCTACTACTTCTACTACTACTACTACTACTACTATTACTACCACTACCACTACCACTACTACTACTACCACTACCACTACTACTACTACTACTACTGCTACTGCTATTGCTGCTGCTACTGCTGCTGCTGCTACTACTACTACTTCTACTCTTAGCACTACTAGTGCTACTACTACTACTACTACTACTACTGTTAGCACTACTAGAACTAGTACTAGTACTAGTACAAGTACTAGTAACTAGTACTACTACTACTACTACTACTATTAGCACTACTAGTACTAGGACTAGTACTGGTACCAGACTACTGCTACTGCTGCTGCTACTGTGCTGCTGCCACTACTACTACTACTTCTACTTCTACTTCTACTTCTACTTCTACTCCTACTACGGCTATTCCCTACTACTACAATTACTACTACTACTACTACTACTACTACTACTACTGCTGCTGCTGCTGCTACTGCTCTTGCTGCTACTACTACTACTTCTACTTCTACTTCTACTTCTACTTCTACTTCTACTACGGCTACTACTACTACAATTACAACTACTACTACTACTACTAGTACTACTACTACTACTACTACTACTACTACTTCTACTACTTCTACTCTTAGCACTACTAGTGCTACGACTACTACTACTACTACTACTACTAGCACTACCACTACTATCAGCACTACTAGTACTAGGACTAGTACTGGTACTAGTACTAGTACTAGTACTGCTACTGCTGCTGCTACTGCTGCTGCTGCCACTACTACTACTACTTCTACTTCTACTTCTACTTCTACTTCTACTCCTACTACGGCTACTCCCTACTACTACTACTACTACTACTACTACTACTACTGCTACTACTACTACTATTACGACAAAAGTGGGAGACAGGGTTCCAAAGTTTCAAACTTCAAAACCGAAACTGCCCAGGGCCTCAAAAAGCAGTCCGAAACAGTTCGGAAACATGTCTGAAACAGCCCCGAAGTGCCTCAAGCCACCACAGACGGACAAGCCCATTTGAGCAAATTGCCCAACTACTAGTACTATTACGATTATTACTACTACTAGTATTCTTATCACACTACTATTATTTTTACACTGCTATTACTGCTACTACTACTACTACTACTTCTACTTCTACCACTACTACTTCTACTACTTCTACTTCTACTTCTACTTCTAGTACGGCTACTACTACAATTTCTACGAGTACTTCCACTACTACTACTACTACTACTACTACTACTACTACTACTACTACTACTACTTTCTACTACTACATTGCTACTAGCCCGTCAGACGGGCGCCCGTCGGGCGGGCGCCCGTCGGGCGCACGCCCGTCGGGCTCGCGCCCGTCCGTCCGTCCATGATCTTCACGGCAAGGTCGCGCAACATACTGGTAGGCATCAGGAAGCGCCCGCTGCGGGCTGTGGCTGAGCCATGTGAAACTAGGCATCGAAGACAGTCCGAAACAGTCCGGAACATGGTCTGAAACGTCCCGAAGATAATTGCTAATTACATTCATTCATTAATTAGGCACTTCTAAATATAGACCTAGTACGCCCCACTACCACTACTAATGCTTCTACAGTATCCACGGCAAAGGTCGCGCAACATACTGCTAGGCATCGAAGATAGTCCGATCCAGCTATCATTATTCTTCTACTACTACTACCACCACTACTAGTACTAGTACTAGTACTACTGCTACTACTACTACTACTACTACTAGCACTACTAGTATACTAGTACTACTACTACTACTACTACTACTACTACTACTATTAGCACTACTAGTACTAGTACTAGTACTACTACTACTACTATTAGGAAAGAGAAAGAGCAAGAGAAAAGAAAGAAACAGAAAATACAGAGAAAGATAAAAAGAAAGAGAACGAGAAAGATAAAGATAAGTAGAAGAAAACATAAAGAGAAAGATAAAGAGATATATTAAAGAGAAAGAGAAATAACAAAGACAAGAAAGATAAAGATAAAGAGAACATACAGAGAAAGAGAAAGACAAATAAAGAGAAAGCGAAAGAGAAAGAGAAAGGGAAAGGATAAGTAAAAGAGAACATAAAGAGAAAGAGACAAATAAATAAAAAAAGACAAGAACAAGAACGATAGAGATAAAAGACAGACAAAGAAAAATAAACAGAGAGAGAGAGAAAAGGACGAGAAAGAGAAAGGGAAATGAAAAGAGACGGAGAAAGAAAAGAAAGAGCAAGATAAAGATAAAGAGAAAGAAGAAAAAGAGAAAGATAAGGAGAACGAGAAAGAGAAAGAGAAAAGAAAGATAAAGAAAGGAAAGAGAAAGATAAAGGAAAGAGAGCAAAAGAGGAAGATAAAGAGAAAGAAAAGAGAAAGATAACGAGAAAGAGAAAAGATAGAGAAAGATAAAGAAAAGCGAAAAGAAAGAGAAATACAAGATAAAATCATCAGAAAGAGAAAGAAAAAGAGAAAGAGAAAGAAAATAGAATAGAAAGAGAAAGGGAAATGAATCAGACAGATAAAGAGAAAGAGAAAGAAAAGAGAACATAAAGAAACAAAGTAAGACAAAAAACAAGGAAAGAGAAAAGAAAGATAACTATAACTTTTATATGTTTAGACACTTCCGACCACCGGCTTCGCCGGCTCTATGTTATTAACTCCACAAGACACGGAGCGAGCATTGTCCGATTGGAGTCCGATTGGAGAATACCCGTGGAACACGAAACCATTTTAGCTGGAGGTGTTTGACATTGGCTTACTGAGACAGGTGTTTGGAGCAGTTGGGATGCATCCATCAGACATTTCAGGAAGAAGACCGAAGGAAGACACTGCTGTGCAAGCAGTATTTCGAGGGAGGATGCAACCGGGGCGGCAACTGCGCTTTCGCACATGGTGAAGCTGAGCAACGCCAGCCACCTGGATGGCAGGACGGGTGCTTTGAGTGAAGTCAGCAGGCTGCTGCAAGAGTTCTCACCCAATAAGCAACAGCGCTGCCACACCCGTGCGCTGGACTGCTCTGCCAGGAGAAGCCCAAGATGAAGCTTTGTGAGAAGTTTCCGAACTTTTGCGAGTTCGGACGATATTGCCACAATGCACATGGGCAGGACGAGCTGCAGGTTCGTGTGACCTGACTGCACTGCCAAAGCATTTCTTGGGAGTTAGCCAGACTTGTGTGTTTGCGCGATTCTTTGTCAGGTTAGGCCCCATGTCCTTTGCCCGGAGCGGTTTTTGGACGCAAAGCTGTTTCTGCCATGCATGAATGGGTTAGAAAATTGCAACCGGTTTTGATGAGGCACCGGGGCCGCGCCTATCTGCACAGCCTGAAGCGGAGCAGGTTGACTATCCGCAGCCCGAGGCCCTTTGTTCAGGGAATCGCGTTCGCCAGTCGAGCAGGGTGTCAAAACTGACGAGAAGCGCCAAGTAAGCAAGGGAGGGCTCAGGGCATCTGGGATTTTTCCCCAATTCAGAATCCTTTTCCAGTGTGATGCTGGGGCGCTTATGACAACCAGCCTTTTTTGCGCAGGCTGGGGAGAGACAAAAGACTTTGCTATGCCGATTTGCAGCCATGGGAACGTGCAAACATGGCGATGATTGCAAGTTTGCCCATGGCG